GTGTTATCTATAGCAAGTAGACAAGAAAAAGGCATAAAAGGGATAGAAATAGGGAAGAAAGAAGTCAAACTATACCTATTTGTAGACAACATGATTTTATACTTAACAAACTATAGAATCTACTAAAAAACTCTAGATCTAATAAACATTTATATCAAAGTTGCAGGATACAAATCAATATATATGCATACACACACACACACATACACACACACCACGTGCAAGCCCAGTAGCCTTCATATATATGAACGACAAATACTCAGAAAAAAAAATTAGGAACAATATTTCTTTCATTCATTCATTAACAGCTCCAAAATTAAGTATCTAAAAATAAACCTTACAAAATAAGTGAAAGATCTCTACTATAAAAACATGAATGCACTGAAAAAGAAATAGAAAAAAAATGATGCAAATGATAGACAGTTTGTCCATGCTCCTGGATTGGCAGAATTAATATCGTGAAAATGGCTATTCAACCAAAATTAATCCATATATTTAATGCAAGACACATCAAAATTCTGATGTCATACCTTACAGATTCAGAGAAAACAATCTAAGAATTCACATAGGATCATGAAAGACTGCACATACCCGAAGCCAGCCTGAGTAAGAACACAGCTGGAGGCATCCCAATGCCTGACCTCAACTCACCCTACAGGGCCTATGCAAAGTATAGTGATAAAGACAGCTTGGTACTGGCATAAAAATAGTAAGGCAGACCCATGAGTCAAAAGAGAGGACTTGGGAACATGCTGACAAAGATATGGCCACCTAATCTTTCTCAAAGGGGGCAAAAGCATGCAATGGAAAAAAGATCCCGTTCAACAAATGGTGCCAGCAGAACAATGAAAGCACCTTGTACAAAAGTCAGTTGAAAATAGATCAAAGGTCTTAATTTAAAATCGGAAACACTGAAACGGAATATTCTTCAAAGTTAGGCAAGAACTTTCTCAAAACAAGCAAAGCTCAACATCCTTAGCCATCAGAGAAATGCAAATCAAAACACCTCAGAGATTCCACCTTACACCTGTAAGAATGGCCACGATCTAAACCCTGATGACAACTTATGCTGGAGAGGTTGTAGGGTAAGGGGGAACACTTCTGCCTTGCTGATGGGAGTGCAGACTTGTATAGCTGCTTTGGAAATCTCAGAAGATTAGGAAATAATCTACCTCAAGACCCAGCAATACTACTGTTGGGTATATACCCAAAGGATGCCCAATCTTACCACAAGGACATGTGCTCAACTATGTTCATAGCAGCATTGTTTGTCACAGCCAGAACCTGGAAACAACCTAAATGCCTCTCGACAGAATGGATAAGGAAAATGTGGTACATTTACACAATGGAGTACTACACAGCAGAAAAAAAACAATGACATCTTGAAATTTATGGGCAAATGGGTGGATCTAGAAAATAGTACATTGCATGAGGTAACCCAGACCCAGAAAGACAAATATACTATGCATGCATTCATTCATCTATTCATTCATTCATTCATTCATTCATGTCATTTCTTTTAGACATAAAGCAAAGAAAAACCAGCCTATAGGCCACAACCCCAGAGAAACTAGACAACAAAGAGAGACATACATGAATCTACATAGGGAAGTGAAAAAGACAAGATTTCCTAAGTAAACTGGGAGTGTGGGGGTCACGGGAGAGGATAAAAGGGGAGATAAATAAAAAATACTTTTAAATATTTTTTAAAAAAACACAGAAAACAACAATCAAACAAATAAAAATAAGGAGATGGAAACAAAAAGTAAAAATCTCCCAGCAAAGTGAAGTCCAGATGCTAATGGTCTCTCAATGAGCAGTACCAAATCCTTAAAAACTCCGTACAGATCCTCAAAATCTTCCACAAAATAGAAGAGGAGACACTACTTCTTAACTTAGTCCACGAGGGACAATATACCCCAAAGAACACTGATGCATAGTTCCTCAACAAAGCCCAGCAAAGCAAATCCAGCAGCAAATGAAAAGGGTGATGCATTATTCCTAGACTGTAAGGATTTCCTAACCCGTGAAAACTGATAGACATCAAAGATCACCGTACCAGAACGAGGAGAGAAACAACATGCTTGTCCCAAATGAAGCAGAAAACAAATTTGGCAAAAGCCAACTCACTCTCATGACAAAAAGATTCTACAAACCAGCAACAGCTGAAAGTCACTTCAACATAGCAAAAGCCACAGTGGAAAAATCCACAGCATAAGGTTGAAAGCGCTCGCTCTTAGTTGTCCAAACAGAGTTTGTTTTAAAATAGTTGTGTTTAAACCAGTACTGAAAGTTCTAGTCAGAGCAACTAGGCTGCAAAAGGAAAAAATGCAAAGGTGAGGGGAGGGAGGGAGAAGACTACGCTTGCACACTGTGGGCTTGATTCGTGGGGAGCCCCAAACGACAGGCGTTCAGCCTCATAAACAAATTCAGCAACACAGCAAGCAAGAGCAGTTGCTATGAACAACCTGAAGAGGAAGTTACCAAAATGGTTCAGTTTTCAGGAGCATCACAAAAGAAGCAGAAGACTTTGTGTACCAGGCCCACACCAACCAGCTCCAAAATCATGACACCAAGATTTCGTATTAGTTATGAATGTTTGGGCCTGCTTAGACTCATTTCAGGCTAGCTTTTTTAAAAATATAAATTAATCTGTTTCTCTTTATCTACCTTTTGCCTTGGGACTTTTCTTTCCTTCTGTATATATTACTTTCACTGCTTCTGGTATCTGGCCAGCTGGCATCTGCGTGATTTCTTACTCTGGGTGTGATCTCCCTCGTTCTCTCCTCTCGCTCTTCTTCCTATTGTTCTTTTATGCACCTTGATTTCTCCTCCTATTTATCCTTTCTGCCTGCCAGACTCACCTATCCCTTTCCCGCATAACTATTGGCCATTCAGCTTTTTATTAGACCTACCATGTGCTTTAGGCAGGCTAGGTGAAATAGCAACATATCTTTTTATAATTAAACACACATTTTTACATTGTTAAACGAATGCAGCACAAACAAACATAACACACCCTTACACAGTTAAATATTCCACCACAACTTCGTATATAATAAAAACTATAAATCATTGGGGGCCTGGAGCTTTACTGCTCTCACAAAGGACCAAGTTCGGTTCCCAACACCCGCAGTCATCTGTAACTCTAGTTCCAAGAATTCCAGCACCCTCTTCTGGCCTCCAAGGGCACTGTGCTATGTGGTGCACAGGCAATACATGTATAGGGACACAGTCGTAATATCATATAGTCTGGCCCCAGTTCTGACACTTTTTCTGCTACAGGTCTGCTGTAAGGTGCAGGGCCCTGGCCACTCTTATACCTTCCTTCCGCAGAGGACCGAGACCCTCTGAAGTCATGGATCGAAACACATCTTTCCTCCCATACACTGTGTGGATGGGCGTTCTGTCACAGCGATGCACACGTGAGTGACCCTCTGACGAGTTACATCTTCCGATTCTAACACGCAAGGCTATGGCAATCAAAATGGTGCTATTCACGCACACAATGACACAGGGACCCGTGAAATGGATGAGAGACACGGGAAAGAAACCCTCACGTCATGATCAAATCATTGTCGGCTGGCATGCAAATGACAGTCTTTAAACAAATAGAAAACTGGGCAGCTACATGTGAGAGAAAGAAGCTGAGCCCTTCCTAGCACAATACACAAAGGTAACTCAAAATGAGCAAAAGCTTAAGCATAAGACTCACAACTGCAAAATTCTTACTAGAACACATAGTGGAAAATTCCCATGACACCAGAGTTGCCAACGATTTCTTGGCCACAGTACCAAAGGCATAGACAATAAAAGAAAGGTGGGATAATTTAAACGCTATCTATTAAAAGACTACAGACTACAAGATAATATCAACAAATTAAAAGAGCAACCCACAAAATGGGAGGAAATATTTGTAAATCATTAAGCCAATATGAAATAAAACTCAGAATATACAGAGAACTCCTGAGGCTCAACGAGAAAAACAAATCCATTAGAAATGGACCCAGAGGGCTCTTCACAGAATTTCTACTCTGGGGGCAGTGCGAGCTCCTGGAGCACCAGGGTCTCTGTATCAGAGAGGATTAAATGAACCTAAACATTGAAGTGGAATCCTGCAGCTAACTGAGAATATCTGACAAAGACAACAGGCAGTTTGGGAGTGACGGGAGACACACTTGCTCTTTGCACCCCGTGAGAGGGGTTGACTTCCCATCCTGGAGACACAAAGAGGTCCATTTTTATCATTCCAGGGTCTGGTCAGACGAGGGGACATTGAACGTCTTTCTGGACATAGAAACATGAGTTGTAGAGGTGAATTTTTCTAAGTGGCAAGATACCGGAAAAGACCCACAAACACTGTGGCTGGTGGGGGTTTTTCTATTCCCTTTTTTTGGTATATGGGGTGTGTGTGTGCGTGTGTGTGTATGTGTGTGTGTGATATTTGTGAACATATGTATATGGGGGCTAGCACCAGTGCGTGTACTTGTGGAGGCAAAAGATCAACAGCGTGTATTGATCTTATTATTTGAGACAGTCTTCACTGAATCGGTGGAGCTTACCAATTCCACCAGAGTGGGTGCCCAGTGATTTCCCAGGATCCCCTGCCCCCAGCCCTTCAGGGCTGGGATTACAGATGTGCACCATGCATATAGGTTCTAAGGATGTGAACCCAGGTCCTTATGATTGTGCAGCAAACGCCTTTCCAAGGAGTCGCTCCCCACCCCTTTCCTGTTTCTGTGTTATTAAGAGAGAACTTTCCCCATTTTGTATGAGGGCAGTGTTCTCTGCTCTCCAACTCGGAAGATCCCTTAAGGTGAGGGATTGCAGGCTTTCCCAGGACAGGAGGTCACTCAGCTCCCACTGACTACGTCATAGTAGGTTGTAAGACGGCCAAGCGTGGGTTGAAAACGCCGTGGCTATGAGGACCCTTGAGTCTTCATACTTGGTTTTCAGAGAACAAGCGCAGAGGCGGCAGAGATGCTGCCCAGTGTCCTCACCTGGATAGATCCTGAAGAACCCAGTTGAACTGCCAAAATACTGCCAAGTCAGTGTGGGGTCTCTCTGGAAGTTCTCCACAAACACAGGGTTCAGGGCCTCGGACATGTAGACTCCATTTAAGATGTCTGGGTCTGAGAGTGAAATCATGGAGGGAACTTCAGAGGCCATGACATTAGATGCACGTGTCTTATGCTACACATGCAAACCCGGGCAAGCTTTCCCTGCTTCCCTTAGACCTGCATCAGGCTCACATGTAGCCCATGCTCCCTAACCCAGAAGCATGACCTCTGTTCAAGCCCACATGCTTAGGTTTGGATGTAGCCTGTGTGTGTGTGTGTGTGTGTGTGTGTGTGTGTGTGCACAGGGTTTGTGTTTGAATGTGCAGTGCTCAGTACTGACATATGAGAGAGGATGGAGTATGGGGGGGAGATGATTGAATCATGACCCCAGGGCAGAGCTTTTACAATTCTATGGATTCTGTTGAGTTCTCATGAAAGATTTTCTGTGGAAGAGACCAGCTTTCCCACTCTCTAGCTTTTTGCGTGGTTGCACCCCCTTACACAGATCCCCATTGTGACACCCTCTACCACAGTAGGATGCAGCTGGGGACCTCACCAAAGCAGTGTGGTGCTGGCCGGACTCAGCTTCCCAGACCTTGAGCTAGGGAAACCTTGCCTAAGTTATTGAGCTTCGGGTATTTTGTCAAAGCAACAGAAAACAGAAAACTCCATGTGTGTGTAGAATAATCTCCTTTCTCACCCTACCAAGAAGATTAGAGAGACAGCTAATGCCCTATAGGACTTCTCGGGAAAATTGACACAAACTATTTAAGCCCTCCAGGGCCCCTGTCCTGTCCCCTAGACTACCCGATGGTGAGGACACGGCCACCTTTGTTGTACACATTGGTAGGTAGCTGCACGCTGCTCAGGGAGACGTTCACCCTCTGGTTGCTGAAGTGTGCATCAGGTTCAAGAAGAAACTCGGCTCCCAGCTCCACGTAGTTGCCATTCTCGTCCTTCTCATTGATAAGCACCGAGTTGTAGTAGTTAAACTGGGGAGAGAGGGGCAGGTCCAGAAGAGGCAGCCCGGGCACAAAGAGGGAGAAGGAAAGAGAAAGGGAGGGAGAGGAGCTTCAAGGGCCAGAGGAACCGAGCATAAGGCCAGGCTAGGCAGGAAGGGCTGGTGGTGCCCGGTTATGCTGCACTTGGTGGAAAACTCAGGCAAAGATGGGGCAGTGATGTTGGAATAAGAAGCGGTGGGGCTGCGTCCCCAACACCCCAGCCGCTTGGCTAGCTTATGCCCGAAATAACAACACACAAACTGTATTCATTTAAAGAACTGCTTGGCCCATGAACTCTAGCCCTTACAGGCTAATTCTCGCACCTGGTCTAGCCCATTTCTAATGTTTGTAAGCACCCCAAGGTACGCTTACCGGAAAGATTCTAGCCTAAGTCCATCGTGGGTTGCAGCTGCCTGGGAGAGCTGAGCATGGCGTCTCTGCTCCAGCAGAGCTGTCGGGTCTCTCTGGGAGCAGAGCAGAGTCTGACCTCACTTCCTCTTCCACCCAGCATCCTATCCTGTTTATTCCGCCCACCTATCTTATAACCTATCAGGGCCAGCAGTTTCTTTATTACTCAGCCTATAAGGGCTAGAGTTCATGGGCCAAGCAGTTCTTTAAATGAATACAGTTTGTGTGTTGTTATTTCGGGCGTGAGCTAGCCAAGCGGCCGGGGTGTTGGGGACGCAGCCCCGCCGCCGCTCATATTTCAACACAGTGAGGTCACAGCACACATCAAGATAGTTGGATCTGAGGGCTCCCTGGCTGGGTGAAGTCAAATTAGCTCAATCGTTGCTTTGATTCTCCACTTGGCTTACTATGCGTGGGAGAGTCACAAGTCAGAAGCAAACAGACTCAAGAGCCAGATGGAGACAAAAGACCATGTCAGCACCATCAGTTTCTTCCATGGGGTGAGGGTCCTGAAGGCCCAGCTAATTCAAGGAGGAGCGTCTGGGGCCTGCCCTGCCAGGGGGCCTAAGCCCTGCTGTCTCCTCCCCACAGGGCAGGAAGGCTGTGACCCAAGAGGCCATAATCAGACCCACTTTCTTCCCCGCCCCCCCCCCCCCACCACAAGCCCCACACTTTGGCTCCCTCTGGAACCGTGGCCACAGATCCCTCCCAGCTTCATTGCTGCCCTCTGGTCAATATTGGCTTTGTGAGTTCAGTTCCAGCTATGTCCATCCCTGACTCCAACCCACACATCCAAGCCATTTTGGAAGAGCAATCCTAAATTGAGAAAATGCCTCCGTCAGATTGGCCTGGAGGCAAGTCTGTGAAGGCATCCTTCTATTGATGACTGCTATGGAGGGCCGAGTCCCCTGTGGGCAGTGCCGCCCCTGGGAGGACCGAGTCCCCTGTGGGCAGTGCCACCCTGGGAAGGGGGCCAAGCCCACTGTGGGCAGTGCTGCCCCTGGGAAGAGGGCAAATGGTTATATAAGAAAACAAATTGAGAAAAATGAGGGAAAACCACAATAAGAACTTTTCCTCCCCTGGTCTGCTTCAGTTTCTGCCTCCAGATTGCTGCCTCGATTTCCCTATCTTGGCCTCACGCTGTGATGGACTGTGGTTGTGATGTGTAAGCGTAATAAACCCTTTCCTCCACGAGTTGCTTTTGGCCGTGGTGTTTCCCACAGTAATGGAAGGCAGCCATGGCACCCAGCATCCATGATCTTGGCCCTGGCCTCTCTCAGTGGACATCCCAGAGGGCTTGTATCATTGTGTCCTCATCCGCCCTGAGCTTCCTTCTTCCTGTGCCTTCCAGGATCTCTCAGCTCAGAGACACTTGTTTATACTTCAGCTTCCCAAGTGCCTCTCCCAGGGCCATCCCTGCTGAACCTCCTCTCTCCTGTCCACTTCCTAGTGCTCGCCGGCCCACCCCACATGCTGACTCCATGCCATCTCTGGGAGCCTCAGCAGCTGGTGTGAAGACCTCACTGACAAAGCCAGGGCGCAGCATGGCACAGGGACATAGATTGAGTAGCTGTTGCTCAGCTCCCTGAACAGCTGCTGTTCCGGCTGCCGTGGGGGTGGGGCAGAGCCAGCCAGCCTGCCATCCACTCCCAAGAGGACTTACCACCAGAGAAGCATTGTACTCATGATTCAGGTCGGCCTCCTCAGCGGCCTCCACCAGGCTCTGAGGGAGGGAGCATGACCGTCACCATCAGCTGTTCTCCTCCGCCACCCCACCCCAAGCTCTCTGCTCTGCTCTTCCCTCTCCAATCCTCTGCTTTCTTCTTTTGCCCCTTCAGCCACGAGGACCCACCCTCTGTGGTTCCTACATGCTCCGAGGAGCTCAGGGGACCGCATTCCTGAATGCCTACAAAGCCTGGCTGGGAACAGCCTTGGTGACATGCCTATCCCGACACCTGTGGTGACCTGGTTTAGTATAACACAGTCTGTACTCCACCCAGCCAGGAGAGGCCCAGCTACAGTCAGTGGAGTCACTGAGAGGGTCCGAAAGGCCAGTGCTAGGGATGGGCAGCGGTACCTTCACGGCCTCGACTTTCCGCCTAAGCATGGTCTCCATGTCCTCTGAGAACTTCTTCACCAGCTCTAGGCCATTCACCTCTTCGATCTTCAGACTGGCTTCTGCATCCTTGTACTTCTGGGCAGGGCAAAGGAGAAGGACGTGGGCCTGAGTGCACCAGGGCTGTCCTTGCTCTAAGACCTTACCAGCTCTCCATGTACCCACCCCATGACGTCCTAATCACAGTCTCAAACAGCCTGTCCTCAGAGGTCCTCTGTTCAGGACTCAAAACACAAGGAAGTTATTATCCCCAAGGGGAGCTGACTGACACTTGGGTAGGAATTAAACTTGACACCAGCCAGAGCCAGTAAGCTGGGCAGCTAGGACCCTGCGGGAGACAGAGTACCAGAGTCCCTGTCCTCGCTCTTTGTGATCCACAGCTTCCCTGACACTTGCTGTGAGGCCGAGAAGCAGGCTTGGTGTCCATTCACCTTTGCCCAGCTCCCAAGAGCATCACCTCCTGTACTGGACCTGCATCCTACTGAGGACCCAGGGCAGGAGTTCCAAGAGGGACACTGGTGAGCCTAGAGGAGCCTAAGAACTGGCTTCAAATTCCTGTCTGCCCTGGGACAATCCTCAATGAGTCACCAGAGACTCTTAGCCAGCCCCAGTAACCTGCTGTCCCTGCGATCTTAGGCAAAGTACCCTGTGTCATCTTCTGTAAGATGTGATGCATCTAGAGCTTTCGATAGTGCTGTAGCATGCATAGACTCTAGAGAACACTTTCAGCCCCTAGGACTACACAATCCCTCATTGTCTTCCTCACCTGGGGCTGCAGGGTTCAAGCAGGAAAATCAAACAAGCTGTTGTTCACAACAGAATGGGGTTTTGAGAGGGCTTCTGTAGTCTTAAGGCTGGGAGAGCCCCCAGGGTCTACCCTGGCCCTACCACCTTCTGCAGCACAAAGGGGATGAGGGAGGGTGGCAGTGTGCTCAGGGCTGGCATAAAAGCTGAGGTATCCATCAGTTGCAACATGGAGAGGCTGCCTCTTGGGTTGCTGTAATCTGAGTTAAAGCCTTCCATCACTGTTAGGTTATGGTGCTGAGAGAAGGCAAGACCCTGAGAGCATGTCCCAGAAAAAGATGCCAGGGTTGTCCTTCTGTCAGGCCCACTTCCGCTGGGAACCGGGCATGGGCTCATCTTGTCAGGGTGCATGGGATGCTGGATACCCGGGCACAGCCTGGCTGCTGGGGTCCACTGGAACTGCTCTGCCTGCAGAGAGGAAACTGACAGCTGCCGCTTGCAGCTGGCACTGCTGGGCTGTCTGCTGCTCCTTCTGCTCCCAACCCCCATGCTCTGATCTGCTTTCTGGCTCCTCCCCAGGCATCCACACCAAGCCTCCACTACCCACCCAATAAACCCTGTGCAGGTCTAATCTTATCCTTGGCTTCCCAAGATGTGAACTGACAGAATGTTCTTGAGCTCACTGTCCACATGATGCCTTAGGAATGGAGCCTCCTGGGGCCTCATCTGAATATGGTAAGATTGACAGAGATGATCTCTCAGGCCCCTTGTAGCTCTAACGTTGGGAGTTCTATCCCTCTGTGGGAAGGGGGCTGTGACCATGCTGGAACTCTCCAGGAGAGGTCACTAACCTTCTGCAGCAACAGCGAGCCTGAGTATCTGGTCACCGTGTCGTACAGATTCTTGCCGAAGGTGTCAGCCCACAGCTTTACTCTGCAGGACAGGAAATCCTAAGTGCACGTTCTCACTATGATCGGGAGTCAGATCCTCAACATGCAAAGCAGGCATCTTATACACAGACACACTTGTAACCCACAGATACCCACATGCATGAACACACACACCACACACACACACACACACACCAACACCAGCATTCCTGTGATGGTTAGCTTTGTCTGCTTTGTCACCAGCCTAGAGCCACCCAGGTAGAGAGTCTCAACGAGGGACTGTCTATATTAGGTTGGGCTGTGGGTGTGTCTGTCGAGGGACTGTCTTAATTAATTGGTCTGGGAAGATCCAGCCCACTGTGGATGGCATCATTTCCTTGGCACCAGCCCTGAACTGAATAGAACCAGAGAATTGAGCCGAGCACAAGTGAGCAAGCAAGGAAGCCTGTGTACACTCACTTCTCTCCGTTCTTAACTATGGACGTGATGTTATCATCTCTGTTCAGGTTCTGCTACCTTTCTTCCCTGCTTTGGTGGACTGGAGCCTGGAATTGTGAACTTGAATTGTGAACTCTCTACTCTGAGTTGTTTTTGTCCGAGTGTTTCTCACAGCGACAGAAGTAAACTAGGCCAGCTCCTATCCAGCCCCCCCTCCCAAACTGCAGCCTGGCCAGGGTGGGAAACTCTGGCTGTGGTACACACACTCTGCCTGGCTTCAGTGGATCCCAGAGCTGATGGGCCTAAAGTCGATTCTAACCCCATGGTCTCAAGGACTTTCCAGTGAGAAGGGAAGGAGGAGGGAGTCTGTGCAGGTCCAGACTAGAGGGGAAAAACCCTGAACCAGTGTGGCACTTCCTGAGCCAACTTGGACATTTCAATGATCAGTCCGTTACTATGTCTACTCAAGGCTATAGGACACTGACCTGTTGAACCCTCAGATGGTGGGGGCAGGGCAGAATGACTCCAAGTACCTGTCTGGAGTAGGGCAGGTTAGAAGGGCAACCTGGTCTGGGCCCTGACCCCTCCTTCCTCCCTAGAAGGTAGACTTCAGGTCTTGTCAGGGCCATGCAACCAGAATAAGTATGACTCCTTTAAGGTCAGCAGCATCCTGAGGTCTGACTGCATGTCACACTATCTCCATAGCAGCCACACACTCTTAGGGACATGCCCTTCCCATGGGGTAGAGTGGTACTCTTTTGGAGGAGGATGGTGATGATGGGGAGGGGAGAAGCCGAGGAAGCAGAATCTGAGTTCAGCATCTATAGTAGGATGGAGGTTAGTGTGGTGAGATCTGGAAAAGAATTTTAGGTAGAGAGCTTGGAGAAGTGGGAATGACTTCAAGACCTCCAGCTTGACTTGCTGACTATTGCTGAGATTGTAAGGAAGGTGGCCTGAGCGAATCAAGAAGAGAGGAAGGTGATGCATGTCTCTTGGGCTTTGTTGAACGTCAGCCTTCTGAGACAAGGTAGCAAGTGTCATTGGGTCGGTTGCACACCCCATAACTTTAGGGGTCACAGAAACATTGCATACTTGATGAGCTCCCATGATGCTCAGGAATAAGTAGGCATTGAGTGTGGGGTCTGGTAGGTAAGAGACTGGGTAGAGCTAATTAGGACAAGAAAAGGACTGAGACACAGAGCTAATGGACTCTTAGCAAGGAAAGTGTGTAGATCTGTGACGACAGGCAGTGGGGCATCCATGGTTGCAGGGGCATGCAGATGGCAAGGTTCTCTTGAAGTTGGCAGGAAGGTCACTCAGAAGTCCAAGGAAGCCAATCATTGTGCTCCTGGAATCAAGGTGTGGGGGTATTAAGAGAAAAGGGGAGCACCCTAAGCGACAAGGTGTGGGGGCCACAGTCTCCAGGATCAGTCAGCAGGAGACTTTTGGCACCCTTGTGTAGAGCAGATGCGGGGGGCAAGTGGCCATGGCTGAGGCTGAGTGCCAGTGTCAATAGGACAGAGGCAGAGGACTGCAAGGGACCCGGTGAGAGAGGGAGGAGAGTGGGTGGCAGATCTCTGTCCTCCTGGGACAGGCATGCAGCAGCAAGACTTTGTGGGGGTGGCTATCCTATGCTGCTCCCGAGGTTTCTGTGTGGACAGCCTGCCTGGATGCCAGCCGTCTTTTCTTGGCCCCCTGACTTCCTGGAACTTGCCTTCTGAGATAAAGACTGCTGAGCTTATGCAAGGCTGCAGGGGATGTCTCAAACACCAGGCTGGCTCAGCAGCATGGATCCCAGCACTTTCATCTTTGGGTCTGTGTGACTGGAGAATGGTATTACCTCCATCACCAAGGGACTGTCTGAGAGGAAGGCAGCATCGGCACAGTTGCTGAGCAGAGCAAGGAGGGGGTCACCGGGTGTCGTGGAAACCCGCTCTTCCCAAAGCAGAAACACTGCTTGCCTGGGCCCCTGTCCTGGCAGCTCAGGCTCTAGCGGTTGTGCTCAGATGTGAACTGTGAAGAGTCAGTCTAGGATGCTCGGCTCCCCTTAGTATCTGGAATGTTCCAGACTAAAGAAGAAACACCCAGAGAGATTGTATCAGATGCAAATGATGGGCGCCATGGTGGGGCGTAGAATCAAAGACCTGAACGAGGCAGAGAGGTATAGACAAGATGAGGCCATTGGAACCCATCCTAACTGAGTTCCTAGATAAGACCCTGCTGTTTGGAGGTACCATCCTGGCTGTCCATCGACAGTGGCTTTACCCTTTCTCAGTGTGCAAGCACGGATCATCCAATGAGTCCTCAGGGGCCACTTCTAGAACCATGGTAGCCCAATCCCACCCTCTCTTGTAGTTATCCTCCCAGCTGGAAGCCTACACCCTCATCTAGCCCTGACATCAACCACACAGAGACAGGAGGTAAGGGCAGGTAGGCTCCAAAATCAGCAAGGATCTGAGGAGGATAGGTGCAGGAAGGAAAGGGTCTCTCAGAGGCAGGACAATTGGTCAGAGGCGGGAGATCATGAGAAGGGTCTTCAGGGTAGGCTCGAACTCAGGCTCACGTTTCTGGAGGAATTCTGGTCTGGCCCCTCACAGCTGTCAGGGAGGTGTCCAAAAGAAGCAAGCACAGGAGGATCAGCATCTTCCTCAGGAAGGTCCAGGCTGCTGACCGCTGTCCATAGTGGCCCTGGTTGTGGTTGGAGAGCAGCATGGGACATCTTGGCATGATGCTTCCACCGGGAACAGCCAAGGGGAAGACCGAGCCCTTGCTGTAAGTGTGCTAGCTGCCACCTGGATCCCTGGGCATCCAAGCGTTCTCCCTGCTGGCAGATCCCAAGTTAAAAGGCTCTGCCTCCAGCTGCAGCTAGCAGAGGGGCAGCCTCAGATGATCGAGGCTTTGCTGTTCAGAGGGAGAGGCAGTAAGCAAATGCCCCCCTTTAATCCTTTGGCCTCTCCTCTAATCCCTTCTTGGTACCAGAAGAGGGGTTAGTGCAGGAGTGGGGGGGACTTCAGCAGGATTACCCTGATTCCGGCTCTGAGCAGCTGGGCCAGCACGCCCTTCTGCTCCCAAGAGGCCATCCCGTGTGCACAGAACAGCCTCCAAGCTCGATGGGATGAGGATTCTCCACTCCAGGGGCTGAGCTTGTTCAGAGCTGTGCTGGGCCCAGACCCTGAAGGACCATCATAACCCGCTGAGTATCCCTAGGAGGGCATGACCAACCTACTCTGTGGAGCTAGGCTCTGTGGGTGCTGAGAAGGACAGAAGGAAGGGGACCCAGACCTCACAGGCTATGCACACACACACACACACACCCCTCTGCAAACGATGATTCTCACTTGAGTTTTGACCTGCTTCAAGGAAAACCTATCAGACAAAGTTTACCCACCCCCTCCACCCAGCCGGAAGTCATCCCTCCACTTTCCGTCTTGGATTTTGACTGCCTCATTTTAGTGGAATCGTGTCATTTTCTTCCTTCATCACTGTCTTCCCCTACTCAGCACAGCATCCTTAGTTTACACATGTCATATGTGCCGGAAGGCTTTCTTCTCAAGACTGTACCACTCCATCATGAGTATATATGCTTTGCTTGTCTATTCAACACTTAGCGACATCTGGTCAACCGCCACATTAGACAAAATCCTGTCCCCCATGTACCCCCAGATTACAGCCAGTTACTCCCTATGGCCTAACCTTGGGGTTCTTCTGCTTGCCGGTCATGTGCACCTCTGGAGACTAATTGGCATGGGAACCTCTTGCATCTAGTACTTTTATTTTCTATTCATGGACCCATCCGCAGGAATCCGCTGTAGGAGCCTGGACAGAAATCTGACATACAGTTGTCCTTCTGTATGGCTGTCTCTCAGCCCTTGGGAGGCCACCTCCTTTTACTTTCCTGTCAGCTTCAGCAGGTGTCCCTTTGTCCCTGCCATGCCTCTTCCGCTTTCCTTATATCTGCCTCACCAAGCACCACCGTTAGTCAGCCATGCTTGTTTCATGAAGTCCCTGTACTTCCTGTGGCCCTTGTCTGACAGCTGGTCTCCTTGGCCCAGAGTCAACTCCACATCCTGTATTTAAAAACTCAGGGACTCTTTGGAAATGCAAGGCCTTTGTCTTTGCTCTGCTCAGGGGACCCTGTGGCTGCTATCTGACTCAAAGAGGTTTTTTTTTTTTTTTTCCTTAGGCACATTGGGTGTGCTTCAGGGCCTACACTGTGGAGTCTGTGGCCCCCTCAGGGAATCTACCTGCAATAGTGCCCTCCCCTTCCCGTGGCTGGCTCCTTCACTTAGGTCGAGTGTCATTGAGCTGGGTCTTGGCCATTTGCCCTCTGTTGCTAGGACATGGAGCCTTTGGTTTCTGTCCATGGTCCTCGAGTCAGAATTCCCAGAAGCAGGATGCTGTAGTCTGGTGAGGGCCTCTGAAGCCTCTTTCACCGCAGAAAGCCAAAGGGAGGTGGGGCTCACAGATAAAAAGTTACAAAAACAACACAAGAATCATACACACACACACACACACACACTACACGCACGCATGAATACACGCACACAGACAATGAAAACACACACATATACTCATGTACACACTAAGGAAAACACACACACATGCACACGCACACAATGGAATCCATTTTGGATTGGCTAAATAAATCCTCCTGGGCACAGGGTCTGCCCTGGAGTGTTATCAATATGTCCAGCGACCTTCATTGGAGAAAACTGGCTTTCCCCATCTCCATAGGTATCCATAGCAAACAGTTTCTTGGTTAGAGTGAGGGCTTTGTATCCACTTTCTACTTAGAGGATTTTTTGGGGTATATTTACAGTGGTTTTACTAGTTGAATGTCCCTAGTCAGGATTTGAAATTGGAAATCTGAGATGATCTGATCAGAGCCAACATTTCCAAGTCCCATCTCACAGGTGAGATTGTCCTGATTTATTGTTCTTCAAACAAGGTCTCATGCATCCCAGGATGACTTTGAAGTTACTATGTAGCCAAAGGTGACTGAGAACTCCAAATTCTCTTTATTCTACCTCCTGAGTACAAATGACACACACACACACGTGCTAGTGTGCATGCACACAATGCAAGGAGCACACACACACGTGTGTGTAAACACAAGATACATGCATTCACACACATCTACACATAATCACATATGCATGTGCATACACATACTTGAGCCCATGTGAATATTCACGAACATTTATACACATACTCACACACATGGACATATGGACAGCCACTGTATTAGTTGTTTTTCTGTTGTTGCCATAAAACATCATGACCAAGGCTACTGAAATGATGAAAATCCAGTATATCTTTATAAGGCTAGAGGCAGATGGTCCCAGAATTGGCTAGTGCAGGTCAAAGATGTTACCAAGGACCCAGGTAACTTGCACTGTCATCATCTGTCACTCTCTGAATTTTGTTTGAATTGTCATTGTTCCAGGCATTGTACACATAATAGCATCTTGATGGAGGCAAGTGACTAATTTTTCTGTAGATCTCTTGTGTCTGGTAAACAAAATACTCCCCAAACTGCCCAGCAGACTTCTGTCTACCTGTCTTTGTGCAGACAGCATTCTCCACTCTATCCTGACTGGAGGTAGCCAGGAAATAGGACACCATGTCTAGGTTAGAGACATCACAGGTGCCTCCTGGATGGGGATGGAGCTACCCCCAAAAAATGTAGCCACACAGGCAATTCCAGAAAATCTAGGGTCTGCTGGAATGGAAGCAGGGCGGGTAAGGACAGGTGCCTGCCACCCACCCTGTCAGGGTTCCCACAGTGTGTACACTAGACCTCTTCTTTAGCTAGTGAGCATCCCTTTCATAGGCCTTAGGGATAGAGCCAGTGGCGCTCCAGGGACAGCCTAGACCTGCTAAGTGCAACTTCCAAGGTGTGGGCATCTTGGCTTCTCAGGTACCTTTGGTGCTGGCTAATAGCTGGAAACCAGTCTCTTGGCTTCTTACATGTCTAGAGTCAGGTACACTCAGGAGAAACGCTGCAAAGGGTGAGGTAGGTGGTGGATTGTGGGAGCCTGGGCTTCTGTATTAAGATGTCATCAATCATAGAGATGAAGGTTTTCAAATGCTTATGGGTTGGCTGGGTTGAGCATCCTATTGCCACCTGTACAGTGGATTCATAAAAAGACACTGGTTTATGGAGGCAGGGTCACCAGGGAAACCGTATGTCTGGTGTGAACGGAGCAGGAACATGTGCGTCATAGGACACGGTGGCAAGAAGTGATTGACTAGATGCATGCCTGGCATGAGGACAGAAAGCAGCAATGTAGCATTTGGTGGTCAAGGAGAATCAAGTTTCTAACACAATAGCATGGACAGAAATGCAAAATATACCAAAAGATTTCTCATAATGCAAAAATCACTAATAGAAAAATAAGGGCATATTTCATTAAAATTATGAGCATGTATACTATCTCAAGAAGCACTATTAAGATGATAAGGGAAAAAAACAGATGGGAAGAAAACGTTTCTGTCCAAGGCAGCAAACGATGCACATGTGAATGTATGAAGAATTACAACCGATATGGAAGAGCAAAGCCCCTGGGGAAATGGGCCCATATGTCAGTCAAGCTTTTCCCACAAGCTAATCTACAGTCATTTCATCTGCAGCAGGGCACAGAGCCGAGCCATGTCCCACCGGAGTGGCTGAAAGGGAGGGCAGTATCTTGCTGTGATGTGGGTGTGTAGCCAGAGGAGTTCATATGCGACCCAAGGAAGAGTCTTGGGCCTGGGGAACATGTACAACTCTATGCTCACAGTTCCACCCTTGGGAAAAAGCAAGCAGAGAGGACCGACACATGTTCCATGCAAAAAGTGCTCATTGCGTTACTCATAAAAGTCCAAAGTCTGGAAGAACCTAAGGTTTATCAAGGTCCAACAGTTCAAATGCGTGTGCACATTCATGCATCTGAATACTGCACAGCAAAGCAAATAAACATGGTGAAAAGGTCAGGTAAGAAAGAATAGAGTCTTGTAATCACATTTATATGGACTTCAATAAAAGCATCGCCAACAGCAGGCATCAGGGCAGTAGCAGCTCACGCTAGGAAGGCCCAGTAACTCACACACATGTCTCTAAATCCAGCTTGGGATACTTGCACTTCAAGTCTAGAGTGAGCTTTCCACTGAAAACACAATTAGCATAGTCGACGGGCATCAATCCTGGTGTCTTCCCACTGAGTGCCTGAAGGTCGCCTGTCAATGCAGGAAGGGCCCCTGCTTTGTGGAACTCCAGAAGCATGGTTGCTTTAAGTTGGTTTGTGTCCCCTGTTGGAAGCACATGGCTTCCGGTATCCGAGATTAGGTCCTTATTTGGAAACAGGACTATAGTCATCGGTCAAGGTAAGGTCTTGTTGGAAAAAGTGGAGCCTAATCCAACACAGCTGATGTCCTTACAGAAAGGGGACGGAGCAGATTTGGACACAGCTAGAACAATGTGTGTAGCCGGAAGCAGGGACAATGTGATGCTTTTCCAAGCAAAGTATGCCAGCTGTCAGCTGCCAGCCGCCACAGAGCAGAGTTTTCTCCATGGCCTCAGAGAGACTCAGCCCTCTGACACTTTGGTCTGGATTTCTGGACTCTAGAGTTGTAGGAAAGTGAGTTTCTGTTGTTAAAGGGGCCCAACCAGTGGCATTTTAGGAAGCCCCAGAAAGAGGCCGTGTTCCAACAGATCCTGAATCGCCGCTCTCCTTGGTCTTAGCCCTCTTCTGGGCACCCAT